GCATTAGGCCACACAGCCATAGACGACCAAAGGCTGTATCCATATCCTGATCCCCTTGCGCTTCAGCGGCTTGAACTAGCAGTCCACCCACCAGCAGCGCCCGTAGAGCTACTTGATGATCTTGTGCTTGAGGCGGCAAGCTGCCACCAACCAGGCTCTTCACCTGGGGCCCACTTTTCATGCTCAGGTCTCGCTGAAAGCCTTCAAAACTCTGCCTTTGAGCGGCTTTGTCATGCCGTCCGCCACCAACTCAGTCCCCTTGAGGTGGTTGAGCTTCCATGAACCGCCCGGAAAGGACGGTGGTCCTTCGATGGCTTCTCGAAGGATATTGGAGCGGACTCTCAAGTGTCTTGTCCGCCATGAGTTGCTGCTGTTCCCATGAGCGAGGCCAATTGCTGCAGCATTGTCCCCATAAATCACCCACTCAAAGGAGTTTGCCGTCAGCTGCTCCCCCCACATAGCACATAGGAGTGCCTCCGTCGCTCTTCCTGCCGTTAAGGCCTCACAGTACGAAACCAGCTCGGCTTCTGCAGTGCTATGGCAACGAAAGGTTGGGTGGAACTCTGCCATGCTATTGGTGCACCAGCAAAACATAGCACCAAGCCTTGGATGCTCTTGTAGCCACTACCAGCGCCATACGCGATGTCCGCAAACACTTCCAGCAGGCGTTCATGCCTTTGGACTTTCAATTGATCTCTGGCTCCCCACTTGTTCTGGATGTTCTTGGAATAGTGGAGGCCGCCTGGATTGCCCTTCACATAGGCCAACAGTCCATACCCAATTTCGATCGCCTTGGCCGGATTCCGAGTGACCAGTTTGCTGATCGCTGCAACACCGAAGGCAAGATCCGGCCTCGACCTTGTGGACAACCATAAGAGAGAGCCAGCCAGGGCCTGTGCTTCACGGACTTGATTCCTATCGATGTCAGGCTGCTGCTCACCATCAGCTTCATTAATCTTGAAGTTGGGAAATGTCGTGGAAGCATTGACATTCCACCTGGCCAGAAGCTCCTGCTCATACTTGTTTTGAGCAATATGGAAACCATCTCCTTCAGCATCCGGGGCAATCTCAAAACCGCAGAAATGCACTGCTGACGTGGATGAAGCCCATTCGATGTTTGACGTGGTCCATGTGGTCTGCAGAGAACTTAGGGCGACCTTCACCGTAGCTTCTTCACCCGAAACTAAGATGTCGTCCACGTAGACAGATGCCATGTTCCTCTTGTTCAGGGCTTTGCTTTACAACCAGGGCTTTGGGAAAATGCTCACTTGCGCCTTGCCTTGAGCATTGTGAAGATATTGGGCAACGGTTGGAACACCCATGGTGCCAAGTCAAGTCAATAGTAGCACTAGCCAGCAGTGGTACTCGGGAGACATGTGAACCCTCAGTCCATTGCATAGTAGACCTCCCACAAAAACTTTGCTTCACCCACCCACAACTCAACAATCAACCACAAGGTCAACAATCAACCACCTTGTGGTTGATTGATGAAAAGTTTCAACTAGCTTGCCACATGATAACAGTCCTACAAGTGATCATTCCGTATAAGAGCTTTGCACAAGCCAGAACAGGACAAAGGACAACGCGCGACAACACCAAGAACAGAAAACGATTGGGAGAAGCACAGGGTTTGAGTTTGAGTTGGGAGTTTTATCTAGTAAAAACATCACATGTGTGCAGTGCACTGTGCAGCCGTTTTGTTTTGGAAATAGGACATCCCATCGTTTTGTTTAAAGACCTTCTTCCCCTCAAGTGTGGCAGAAGGGTGTGGAAAAAACATAAACTTTCTGGAAAAACAACACAGCGCCGTGAAGGTGGTATTTTTTTCCTGCGAAGGTCAAGGTGGTCACGCAGACTTCCACACAGACAGTTGGTGGCATCCCCCTGCACTTTGAAACCTGAACTGCTTTTATTGTTTTGTAATTGGGGCGTTGGCCCTACATAGATTGTTTGACAACAATATGCTACTACAATGTAAGTTCATCCCACACCTCTGTTCGGTGGATGCAAGCACTGGCTACAGCGCTTCAAAATCTCTCCGGCTCATGGTGCATCACTCATTGCCATCAGCTGAAACAGGTTTGCAGCCATGGATTGAAACCTGTGGTGAAAACTTTACATCACGAAGATGCAAGGTTGACCAAACATGTTTGTTGCGAAGGACCTAATATAGACTAGTGACCTTCCACGGGAACATCTTCCTCCGCCGATTCTTCTTCGCCGCCCTCGGGCGCCATCTCGCAGTCCTCTTCTGGATCAACCGTGTGGTCCTTCTTGAGGACTGCATTGACCATAGACTCCTGGGTAGACAGCTTCTAACTTTCTATGGGTTTAGATTGGATTGAAGACAACTTCCAAACAAAGAGCTTCAATATACCTTGAACCACGCAATACATGATCACAATTCAGAATGCTGAAATAGGAACCATCAACGCTTGGCCAGCTTGGAGGTCTCCGCGGGTTCGAACTAGTTCTTTTCGAACACTCTCCTCATGCATGGATCAACGAACTGGCGCAGCATCGAACCATGATGAAGACAACCATGACGAAGACAACCATCCATATTTTACATATTTTTAGATTCAAGGGGCGGCGATGGTTTCACGGGCTTCATCATCCAGGCCATCGGGAACATGGAACTCAGTGGCACATTGCATTGATTTGGACAAAAGAAAGGACACATAGCAAAGTTAACTGTCATACAGCGACATGGATGAATTCAACCAAACTGCATAGAATTTCTCACTCCCATCGATTTTATATCCATACTTCCTGTCGCGCTTGTAGTAGCCCTTGTGGACAGTGTACTTGAGAGCGGACGGACGAGTGGGCTCAGCGGAAACACTGGCAGCGGGTTTCTTCAGAACCTTCATAACCTTGACCTTTGACTCAGCTTTGGCCTTGGAGGCCAAAACACGCTTCTGCGACGATGCTGAAGTCGGGGGCTCAAGTGGTGCCTCTGGCTCGGCTGCCTTGGCCTTGGGTTTTGGTCCTGGTTTGCATGTGGGCTTGAGTTTAGGCTTGGGCAGAGTCTTGGGTTTGGGCAGAGTCTTTGGTTTCGGTTTGGCTTTGCCCTTCGGTGCAGCTTTTGCACTCACTCCACCCCCCTGATTCTGGGGAGTGGCTCGGTCTTCATCGGACAGCTGGTCCACAGGCTGGAGAACCATTTGAAAAAGGGTATGGAACCCTTGCATAGGCGTTCTACTATCTAGCCCACGCGATCTTTGAGATCAAATGCTAGGGCGATGGGACCTGGGTATCCAATTTAATTTCAAAAAGCAATGCAGCTGTTCTCTACCATTGGCATGTTTTCTGGTGCAGGGAAGGATTTGAGAGTAAAGGGCCCTACAATGCCCGCATTGGGGTTCTTCTGCAAAACTATGCGGCCGGGCTGTGGTCAAAGGAGGTATCACAGGATGCGCAACCCTGGCCAATGACACCATTTACATTGGGCCACATTGTGCGCTCCCGTGTTCACCACTCACACCATCACTGCAAGATTTCCAATTACATAGTTTTCAACAATTCTCAACACAATGCTCACACCCACGCCATCACTTCAACTTGAGGGCTTCGCCCGCTTCGATGCAACAATTTGCAAACAAAAAATACTTGGGCTTCAGGGGCGTCACCACCACTGGCGCTTCCTCTCCCACTTTGACCTCCCAGGGGTTTACGCATGAAGTGTGATGTTTGACCCTGTGCGATATGATTGAAACCTTTCCGATTGGATTGAAAGAACCCCACCTCCCACACGATGCCGCAATGAGGCCCTGCTGGGATCTGCAAGATCCGGTCGTGGAAGATGGCTCCAAACTGCGCTGAGCGAATGCCTGAGACCTTTTCTACCGGCTTCGGCTTGAACGCATTGGTTTGGGCATCGGGCTTGACCTCGTAGCGGAATTTGAGTGGGATATGGCCACCGTCAGGCCCCGCCTCCACAGAATGCATAGTTTTCACAAGTCTTTACAAATCTCTACATTGAACACACGATAACATGTTGTCCCAACTTGTTACATAGTGCGTCGACCGAAAACCTTTTTGGAACGATTCAGCCTTCACTTTGCCAACCAAAGAATGGTCAATGACCCGAGCTTCGGTTATCCCACGATTTCTGGCTACCGAGCACAAGAGGTCTGCCAAGGTCGTGGTCTCTTTGTGGGTGACCTGTGTGCCCGCATCGCCCACCGAGGTGTTGACAAGGACGAGGACCGATGAATCGGCTCGGAGGATCCATTGGATGGTATCGTTGCTGGGAGTTCCTCCGCTGCCCAAAGTCATGTTGAAAACAAAGTGTGCAAAGCTTCATCTTTCATCACTAAAGTTTTCGTCATTTGAAGAAATAACTGGTCCTGAAGGCGCTTCCACAAATGACCCGACGTTGAACCCAAACAGCTCACCGTGGCTGAGGTTGACAGCCGTTTTCCCACGGTTCACCAGCCACAAAGCGCCAGCTTTGGTAAGGGCCACTTCAATAGAGGGCTCTCGAGCGAGTGCCGCAGAAGCTTCCACCCTGCTGGCAATAGCTGCATCACACATCCAAATTGAATCAAATTAATAATTAGAGAACTGAAAAAATATATCAAAGATTGGACACTCTGTTTATTGAAAACCCAGGAACTCATGCCCGGATTCAAAGTCGACGAGAGGAATTCCAGTGATGTTCCACCGCTTGTTCAGGTTGATTGGTCCATCATCTGTTCCCCATTCTGGTGAAGCCATTGTTCGACCAGGGCTTGTGGACGTTGGAGACGTTGAAGAGCTCCCCTGATTGAAGCTCTTAAGGGAGTTCATGATCTCGGTTTCCTCCATCAACTTGTCCTCCAACATCTTCAACTGCTCTTTGTGAGAGGACTCATACTTGTTTTTCACAAGGTCAGGCAACCTCAGATGCTTCTGAAGATCTCTTTTGGTGGGCCCCGGAAAGAGCAAAGCAATCAGACCCCGGAACAAATCAAAAGATCATTGGGTCGATGTCTCACAACAAAAACTTGTGTATTTTAACCCAAAGACTTCAGCTCATTGTCCAACACAATCAAGCAATCCAGACCAGGGATTTCCTCTGAGAAGGTTTGAGCAGCACGGGACTTTGGCCCAGCGGCGCTTGAAGTATCCCACCACTGCTGCATGGCCCTTCCACAAATGAGCTGTTGGCAGGACTCGGCATGCTTGGTATCATCGTCGTGGTAGATGCTGAGAAACCGAACATCCCAGGCGCGGTCTTCCGCTGACGCGCCCTGCAAGAATGCGCGCTGAAGCTGCCATGCTGCTTGGGACCACTCGGCAAACCTCCAGGGTAGAGGGCAATAGGATGCAATAGGTTACCTGTTGTTAATTTGACATCATTCTAATTAGTTGGACTTTTTTCAACCACCAGGCCTTGATGGCAGTAGGTCCACCAACAGCACGGGCTGGGCTTCGCGGGCATGCATTCCACAGAGAAGTTGTTCCAGGATGTCCACGCACGCTTGCACACCCCTCTGCTGGACCTAACTTATGTTGGGCAATCGAAGCAATTGGTTTGTCGGACTGACTTATGTTGGGCTCCCATACCCACAAAACAACTTGACAACCCAAAAAGATATCATATGATATCATGAACAAGGAGCGCGCCAGTGAGGCGCCAAGGGCTTGTCTGGCTCTGGGTTGGAGAGCTCGTTGACCCGCGCTCGGTCAACTTCATCTATGCTACCCAACAAAGCCCTGCTGCGACTCCATGGAACATCGCTCATCCCAGGAGCCACCCCAGCCAAACCTCAGAGAGTTTAGTACCACGAAAGGACTCTTTTGGATGGTTTGGGGTGAAACCTTTTGTGAAAAGAGACAAGAAACATTGTTGGCTCTTCTTTCTGCGATCCCCTCCATGAGTGGAGTCTTTATAGACCACGGCGATCTCGAAGACGTCCAATGTTCTAGGTGCGTCGGCATGGTGATGATTTCTCAGCCTTTAGGTACGCATTTCAGTATTCCACCAAATCATCACATAACATATAAAAGATTTCAATTTTCCTCACCCAATATTCCCAACCACCTTGTCTTCTAGAAGTCTCCTGTTTTTCAAGACCGCAACCTTCCCAGCACTGGAATGCCATTGTGGCAGGCACCAGAAAGACACCGAGTTACAATTGCCCCCAGTCACGCCCTGTGCGACTTGAACCGCCTCATCAATCGAGAGTGGACCTCATGGCAAATGTGTGTTAGTAAGGGCTCAAGATTCGAGGTATAGGAAATTCACATTGCCGAAACATTGTAGGTTGAAAGTCCCCTTTCTCAGTTGGATTCCAGGCACGCGTTGGCCACAAGGTTGCATCTGCAATCAATATGGTCAACCTCAATGTGTCGGTGTGTGGATCGACAATCTCAATCAAACTCAAACATAGGAACACATTTTGCATTGGACTGATTCTTTCATGGTTGTGTGACGATCTATTTGAGATTAGGTACCCATCAGGTCCCATTTCACCTTGCATTTGCACAATAGCAGAATGCCCCAAACAAATGGATGGATGTCGGACGATGCGGTGCTTCTCTGCCAGGAGCTTGCTGATTTCCTCCTTGCCCTTTGCGTACCGGTCTGAGAGGTACTTCACATCCAGTGATCCCTGGCGCGAGGGAAGATGGAAAAAATAGGGACAATGGAAACCGTTTTTCATGTTTACTTAGAATGGCATGGCATGAGAAAATCTGACATGGATTGAAATCAGTAGGAAGGAGCCTGCTTGGCCATGAAGCTTGTAAACTTCCTGGACCAATCCTGCAATTTCACCTTGTCCTGCTCCACTTGCAACTCCATCTGTTGCCATGTGGTTTGGAGCAGCTGTTGACTGAGCCTCACGCACGCGATCGATTGCCTTGACCAGTCACACACATTCTTAGGCCAAGAAGCTCCTGAGCCTTTTCGAGGTTCCGTTTTTCCACCTGGCCGGTGTGGGGTGAAGCAGACGAGTGTTCAAGTTCTATTGGAATGAGGGTTCTGCTAAATGGTTACCCACCTGGCCTCTGTAGCATATTTGGATAGATGCACTGCAAAGACGCTAATCTTCGAGAGGTCAGGTGGAGGGACAGACCCATCCAGCGTGGCCAACAAATCGGCGTCCGCGTGTCTCTTTTCAAACCTGAGCGTGACTTGTTGAGCACTTTTGGGACTACTTTCGGGTCATCAAAGAACATTGCAACAGTTCATGTGGTCCGATGAATAGCTAACCACCTTATGTTAAGTAACGCTTTGTTGACCTCAGCAAGCGCGGACTCACTGAAAGCGGACGGCACCTGTGCCTTGAACTGATCAATGCAGGCCACAAAGAGCGCACAAACCTTTTGGAGCTGTGCCTCAGATGGGGCACATGTTCCAGTTTTCAAGTTGACAAGCGCACAACACCATACAATAAAAAATAGTCCAAAGGATGTGCACCAAAGTTTTTTCTTAGTTGCCAAGTCCTTCATACCCCAGGGCTTCCGCATTTTTGGTGTTAGGCTGACCCAGTCGGACTCCATGCGGTGCAGCATGAAACTGAGGGTGTCATGCGTGTTCTGCAGCTGGGATTTCCAAGAGGCGTGTGGTCCAACGGCACTACAAAAGCCCAGATTCAGGAGCCCTTCTGCAAGCCCATCGTGGTTTACGAAGCGAGGCATCCCATACCGCCTTGTTGTTTGTAGTTAAACAAAACCATTCTTACCAACGTCCACCCAATCACACAGCACCACATTCAAATGGCCCCTGCCTCACAAGGAGGGTCAATCCCTCCCTGATTTCGCTGGGCACTCGCCGCAGGAGGTTCAGCGCCGCTGCGGACTCGTGTTTGCCCAGAGAGTACGCGCTCGCGAAGGAGGCGACGGTCTCCTGCGCCTGTTAAATACAGCAATAGCACCAAGAAGTTGCAGTGTCGTGTCATTCATCTTTTGTCTTTTTATGTATTTTTCTTTCATGCCCGCCTCTAGCGTTTTGATGCTTGCCTCTTGATTGTGGCCAGAACGGACAAGGAACTGCAGTTGAAACAGTAAGTTGAAGCAGTTCGGGCGGCGGCGAAGGGATGATGACATTGTCACGCCTGATTGTGTCACGACAATGAACAAACAAATACACACAGCTTGTGTCTCATTGACGCGCACTTGCAGGCTCATTTGCAGCTCGAGAACCGCGATTCGTGTTGACGATCATGGTCGAGTCAGGCGGCACGATGGTCGCGTGGATGGTGGCAAAGGATCTAGGCAATTCACATGAATTCACCCATGTTTGTTCAGAAGTATTCAGAAGTCAAGAGTTTGCCATGCTCAATCCTTTCCTAGTTTGCTTTGGGAGTGAATAGCAACTAGTGCGTGTCCAGGGGCTTGAGCACCTGCTCGGGCAATGCCTGACGATTCAAGTACTGTAAGTCTAAACTAGTTTGTCACGGGTTGGATCCAACAATGAAGCAATTTTCCAACACCAGGCCTTCAGCAATTCAGATTGTTTGAAGGCTGCGAACAAGACTGCCAATCCGCAGACTGAGCGATTCCATCCTTTGACCATGAAAATCTTCTCCGCTCCCAACAGCTCTGGGGGGGCATTGAAATCGGTAGCGATAACCTCCTCCCGAGGAAGCTCCAGCCACTCCCGGCGAAGCCATGTCCCCACGACCCGCTCGCATCCGGGCACATCTGGGTTTGTTTGTAGGCCGTTGAGGCATATCAATTCCATCAATTGTTGTTGAACTTCCTAAGTCACCAGAAAAAGAAGAACGTCGCCCCAGAACAGGAACACTTGGATCACTGGGTATCTGGCCGCATCCGATGTACCCCTCAAGCCGAAGTCTGCCCTGTGCGGAAGCTGCCATGGCCTCAAAAAGACAGCTGTCTTGGGCCCATCGAAATCGGTGTCCAGGCAGTAGGTCCTCAGCCGATGCGAGATTTGATGAGAGCACACTGGGGACAGGTAGGGGTTGAGGTCACCACACACTTGGGTCAGCATAGACAGTCGCTTCCACCCACTGGTAGAAGGCAGTCGCGGTGTCCTGTAGAGCTTGGTTGCCCCCACAATCAGAATTGGGAACAGCACACTGTCCTTCGAGCTGAGGGCCTCTGTGAGGTAGGCATCCACGGTCGTATTTGGCTTCACTATGTTCTCCATCCTGAGCTGTTTGCTGCCATTGATAGTGCATGATAGTGCCATACCCTTTTGACTTTAGCTCATGACATATAGATACCACACCAATCTTTATGTGTACAAATGTGTACAATATTGTACAATGATCCGCCATGGAACAGCCATTCCCCCAAGAGCTGCAAATGGGGCATCGCCCTTGAATCTGGTGGTATTGGCGGGAGCTCGCCCTTCTTCACCTTCGGCTTCGGCCCCGGACCGCCAGGCGCTGGTCGTTTCTTCGGCGCCATGGCCTGGCACAGGACCGGGAATGCACATGATGATTGCCTGGCACAGGACCTGGCAAAAAGATCATGCAAGATGAACTCCTTGTATGACACCCCTGCGCCACCAATGTGTTTCTTCACAGATTGTGAATAGCGATGCTCCAAAGCACTCCGGGTTTGTGAAAGGCAAATCATTCACAATCACTGGTCACAATGATTTACCCATGATCGTGCCGTGAGGCGACCCGTACATTCACGAACACCTGTCTACATAGAAAAAACTGGAAAAAAACAAAATCAAAATTACAGTCAGCAGATTCAGGCATGGTTTGTATGGTGTTTGTGCCGCGGGACGACCCCTACATTCACAAACACCGGGTTGCCACGAGGTGGGTGGCCAGTTAGAAAATTGCCTCTCACAATCTCAGAGTTTGGATACCCCTGTCAGTTCACAAACACACCTGCGCCAGGTCCAGGGTAGCACGGAAACCCATCACGAGAACAGTGGAATGATTACAAATTTAAATTTGTTTCTCAACGGTTGGAGCCCTACCCTGAACCACAAGTGGTTTGCAGCTCCCCTCAAAAGCGGCTATATCTTGCCAGAGGCAGTGCCAATTGCCTTTGAAACAATTTTGATGGCGCGAGTCATTTCAACACCATGCGCCCACAGCTGTGCTGCGCCAGCGTAAAGAGCTTGATACCCTTTGGCTGTTTTGAAGCGTTTTGCTTCCTCGCCCTCCAAAGACTCAGACCCCAGATTCAACTGATTTGGGGCCTAGGCAGCCATAGGCAGCCAAGGGTTGACCATGATGTCATTTTCCATATCACCCAAGGTCCCCCACGCAAATCAAGTCCTGAGCCGGAGGAAGACGCTTGGCCGATCCTCCGACGGCAACTCCATGGTGAGGTAGTGCCCTGAGCGGAAGGAGCAGAGGGGCGGGGATTTACAGTAAGTGATTTTGAATCTTGGACTTGGACCAGCTGCAATCCAAAAGTGTCCCCTCAACAACGCCCATGGAAAGTTTTTCCAACTCATGGGCTGCATCGTGCATCGCCCAAGGCTCTTGGCCTTGGAAGTAACTATGCGAAGAAGAACAGTTATATATTCATTAGATAGCGTTAGATTAGATATCATATTAGTGTATGAATGAGGCCTGGACGCATGATCTGAGCGTATTTCCTCAATGCTTTGTTGTCTTTCGACTCTGGGTTGATGGGAGTGTCCAAGAAGACTGGCCAGACAAAGCAAAAACTGGAGGAACTCGGCTGGAGGAAACGGCTCGCCTGGAGGAACTCGGCCTTCGCACCTTCTGGCCATCGATGCTGGGAGAAACAAGTACACCTTTGAATCCCACTCTGTGTTGCTGAGAAACCGCTTCGTCCTTGCAAAGGAGAACAAGAATTCTGTTCATGTCACAGGCCCATGCTTACCACTTACGAAACAAAAACCCAAAACAGTCCTGAGGATGACATCATTTTGACTTCTTTCAAAAATCTTTCGTCTCGCCCAGAACTTGCTGTCGACATCTTGATGCCGAATGCCTGGCGGCAGGTATATAGATTCATTCAAGTGTCAGCGCACAAATAAGAAAAATTCAAGGAGTGTCCCTGTGGCAATCTGGTGTGGAACCTGTGTCACCAATGCGTTCAACCCGGATCAGATGGGGCGCTCCGGGCCCGCCAATTCCACGAAGGTGCACTTTGAAAAACAACTCTGAGAAGAAGTTCTTCCTGACATACACGCTTTCAGAGTGGCAGAGTGACGCATACTACGAGGCAACAGCGCGTAGAAATATTGAGGGTTTTGTGGATCACAACATATAACAACACAACGAACACACAAAGGTCAAATCTTTGCTGTTTGAATGAGGCTCCAGTCCCTGTACTGGTGCATCATGACTACTTCTTTCAGTTTTTCATTGGGTCGCCGGGTGGGAGCAGCAAAGTACGCTTCAAGGCACTGTCTGAACGACTCAGGGGTTGGCAGTTCGTTGTGAGAGTTTATCCAACTTCGTAGGTGGCCAAAAAGAGCATCAATATCCTCATGGCTATGGCCACTGGTGAGGCAAGATATTTCTCCAGATCTCAGCTTGTGTTGTACAACCCACGCTCCTAAACACCTAAGAATCCCGTTGTTCTTGAGCTCGCGGCAACAGTTGTCCCCTTGGAGCGTCAGTGAGACGTTCCGGAGATCAACTGTTTTGCTGACCATGGTGAGGCCGCGACTGACGATCTCTGCTGTCCTGGAGCTGTTCGATGTCAATGTGCTTGGGCTCAGTGCCAAGCAAAGACAATGCCCGTGTAGCACCAGGGTTGTGCTGGTGAGTCTTGGCTTGTTCATAGCCGAGAAGTCCTTCGCAGATAGGAGTTGTGAACGCGGCCACGAGTGTTTGGCAGCATCCATACTGTCTATGATCCCACATATGTGGTAGACATACGGGTTTGAACTTTCAAGACGCGAACGGGCCCTGCTGGCCCAATAGATCTGACGGTCAGCATGCTGCCTTTTGAGGTGCTTCTGGAGCATCTCCACCTGAGATCTCCTCGCAGGCGGGCAATGCCCGAGGCGTTTGATGATAGCCCGGTGCTTCAAGCATGTTGAGCATTTGCTGTGATGGGTTTTAAACCGGATGCGAAGCCGCTCTTTGAAGCTGTCCATCCAAACCTTGGATGGGTTGCTTTGCGTGATGAATAGATGGTAGCTGCCCAGTCCACTCTAAGAAGTGAAGACAATCAAAAGATTAACATCCAATTCCAAGCATACAAGCAACTGAATTGAAAAGCTTCTTGGAAATGTTGAGCGTGGGGTTGATTGAGCAGCACTGAACGTAATAATCATGGATTGATCCATGGGGTAAATGTTTTATCAAGCTCCGGTTCATGTTCTTCGGGTCCAGTTTGTGTTTGCCTTGACGTGGACGTTTGTTGCTGTTCAATCCATCAGGAATCGGCTCGGCGGCCTCCAGGTATAGCTGCATCAAATATTCATGCACCTTTGTTTTCTTCTCACTCGGCAACTGCGGTCCCTTGGGGATGTACCTTTGATCGAAGGGGCAAAATTCATGCCCTTCTTTCGCCGAATGCCGCAGGGAATGAAACCGGCCCTTGCCCATACCCAGTAATCGCATGAACCCGGAGTTGCATATGGGAAATCCTTGGAAGATCAAACTCCGACAACCCCGGGAGGCCTCTCCCTGTCGCTGTAGTAGCTGGAAAACCTAGGCACGCCGGTCATGTATTGGATTGACTTCTAATTGACATTGAGATCCTGACATAGGCATCTTGCTCCAGCTTGGTCATGTCATGTAGCATCTTCCGAAGCTTTAACCAAGAGTCGAATTGCGCAGGTGATCGAAATGGTTGAAAGCAATCACATTGACAGCCGCACTTTGATTGAATCAGATTTCGCAATCTAACAGGTTCCACTCTCATTGGAACATGTTTTACCTTCTGGGGCTTGCGCCGTGCAGGTCTTCTCCTGCGTTTGCCGCAAATCTTCAGAGGCGATCGGGCGGTGGGTGCAATGTTCTCATCCCCACTGAGATCATCGACGGACGCCAAAAGGTTTGGCCTGGGCCGAATCTTAGTTGAATAGGGATAAATATGAAACATCAAATAGTGAGTTTCCCCGCATTGTGGCTGGTAGGAATGCAAAAGCGGTAATGACCTAACACGGAGGGGGCATCAATTTTGGTTTGACTGGACTGCTCTGACTTACTAGCACCCACACACACAACACGCCTTCAGTCACTGCGAAGCATTCCTGCGCACGGGCCGCGCTATGTGGAAGTGGGTATGTAAGTAGTGTGGAACAAAGAAATAGCGCTGACATTTTGCTTTATAAGCTGTCCTTGGCGCACACCCTTTGCCCGCCATAGACGGGGATGCATGAAACAATGTTTGTGTAAAGGTTACTATATCGTGATATAGTGCTTGATTGGACTTGCACAGTGTATTGCACTTGTCTATGCCATGTGAACAAGCTCTTGCAAAAATGAACATCTTCATTAAAATGTTACCCCGTTGCTGCAGCCCAAAGAAGGCGGTGTCGCATACCGCTCAAAGCCCATGTCGGATTGCCGAACAACTTTCCCAAACAGGCCAGGAGTGCGATTGAGGGCGCGGTGCCCCAGGAAGCGCCGACGATCGCTTGACAACGGTTGGGAGTGAGCGGCGCAAGTCAAGTGAATGCAGTGGCTACCAAGTGGATTCAAATTGGATATACAGCTGCCACACATTCAACATTAAGACTGAAACATTTCACTGTTTCCCAAAGGCAGGATGCAACTGTGTGGGTCTGTCAGTGGTTAAGACACACTTGCGACCCAT